GCTGATTGAGCAATACCTTGTAGAGAATCAGAATATTGCCATGTATGATTGACTGACTGATGGATTTATATTTTCGTAGCCACAAGTAGACGATAGTTAGGGAAGAAAAAGGAACAGAAATATACACATTTACATAAAGAGAAACAAACGCACGCTAATACGAAAGCAAAAAAATTTTTACATCGTCATTTTATAATTAGGATGGATTCAAAGTATAGGGTGATAATTATTGTATTTATTATTTCCACATTATTATCTATAATAAAATTTACTTTTGATCGTAAATTTGCTTTACTTCATAGACAACCAATACGTTTATTATTACGTACACATAGACAATGTTATGTATAAATTCACCAAAACAAAATGATTATCATCATGGTAAATTAAAATTTGTTATTCAATATCATCGGTTAAACACGAATTCAATGGAATAATTAAGGTACTCCCGTCCTCTTTCTTGCAAGAAAATTTCCCTTTTGAGCTCAACGCAGAATAATGTAGAGGAAAGTCTGGGCTATAAAATGAGACCACTCTAGCTCTCTGTCCCCGTCCTGAAAAAACTATTAAGTTTTAAATTTTTTCCTTCAAAGTCTAAAAAGTTTCTCAACTTTTTAGTTTCGTAAATTTTTCTGTCATTTCCCATATACTCAAAATCTTTTCTGATACATAGACTGATAGAAGAGAGTCTGCATTTCAAAATGAGACGTTTTGCGGAATTTTTCAACGAATTTTCGTGGAGATATAAGCATCACTGCAAATACCCTAAAAACCAGAGCTTTGTGTACAATATGTGTTTTTCTCCATATGCGTTTTTTCTACAGTCCCTCCAATTCAGCCACATTACGACCCTCGAAAAAATGATCCGATCGAGCAAATCCTAGAGAGGATCCTAAAGTATCTGTGATAAAATTTTGAGCTCGACTGGATTCGTTTGTTCGACGGGTCGTAACGTGATCTGATGAAACCCATGGAAACCCATACAAAAACGTGTTAGAAAATTCTGGGCAAAAATTAATTTCGATGTTCTGCTTCTAGTATAAGATTCACCCGATCGAACACTAGCTTTCTTTTCAAGTCGGTCGAAAACAGAGAGGGAGGGGTAGCGTTAATGGAAAAAACACATAAAGACGATCTTTCGATGAACGCCGTTTATTACATGATACATTTCATGTATTATCACATATTCCTAAGAAATATCATCAGAAGTAGTTTTTGAAAATTAAATTCAACATATCCTATAAAGGGTAGCGCAGAAGTCTGTTTTATTCGATATTTTTTTAATATCTCGATCAAGATTGATCGCGAAGTCTCAGTCTTTCTCTTAAAAACGACCTCATTCAATTCGCTGCAAACCTTATCTTCTGCCAAGAACGAAGATTTTACTAGAAGAAAAAAGGAAAGGAAAATTTGATTTCTTCACTTTGGCACAGGAAACGAAATGGAGCTATTCACGGCTTCGTCTGTTCGAACGTAACAGAAGAATTATTTTGCTTATGACACAAGAAACTGTAGAATTATTTGCACATTAAATGATGATGGATGACATTTTCTCAAATATTTTTAACAATTGTCCGGTTTGTTACATCATACATCACTCTTGTATGCACCTATATTTCTGTTCCTTATTTATCATTTTACATATGATAGATGAAGCCTTACAGAAACAAATGTATGAAACACTGGAAAATACACTTATATGACGTTGATTTCATCGCTTCTTCCAGTTCTTTTCGTATGGTCAAGAATTTGATAAAACTTTAGGTAAACGAGAAAAGCTCTTATCCGTTTTTATGATTGTTTCTTTTTGTACTCAATTGATAATATTAATCAGTATCTGTATAACAAATTTATTTTAAAATGCCAAGTGATTATTGCACACAATATATATAGATAGGGTTTAGCCTCGGTTCATCCCTAATTGATTTCTCAATTCGTCCTTCATAAATTTTTATTATCAGTTCATCCCTTAAAATTTTTTTCTTGATTCGTCCCTCAAATGCACGCATAGGCTAAATTATTCGGCTTTTAAATTTATTTAATAAACTTTGTAAAAATGAACAACGCTAATAATTAAGAATATAGAAACAGCTACAATATCACTATGTTCACAAGACAAACCAATTATTCGTAAAGATATCATTTTTTAATTGGGGTTGTTTTAATAGTTCTACCACATTTAATAGCCAGTTCAGCATTCGTTATTGTTCCTTTTATGTGTTCTTCATATAGTTCTTTTAACTTACTATCAATATTATTATATAATTTTTTTACTTTCGACTAGGTCGTCTGGTATTAATACTATTCCAATGGCACCAAAAAACCAATGATCTACCTTTTTTCGTTCAGCATCTGATATATTGTTGTTGTTGCTATTATTCCTTGGAAGAAAATAACGACTCATGCCAATTTGTTGAACTTTTATTTTTTTATGATTGTGCGTAGAGGAAGAAACACCCATTAATTCTGATGTTTGTAAATACGTTCCTCAATGAATTAATAACAGCCTCTTCAAAATTACATGTCAAACGTTGTGGATTCATAATAACATTAAATTTTTGTCCAAGTGCAATCTAATGATTCAAAATTTTAGTATATGCAATTTCATTTTTCTTTGTTGTTAAACAATAAGCACATGGAATCATATATCCATTATTAAAATCAAATATAATATACAGTTTAGCAAATAATAATGGATGAACATCAAATGTACCATCGGAATGCCAAATTGAACATGATGATAACAAACGAATACTCCACTCTGAACCGAAAATCATTAAATAGTCACCACCGTCTGGAAGTAAATAAAAACTTGCAAAACAAATCAGTTTGTTAATGTTTCAAATTACTTACATTTTTCATCAACTAATAAGAATTCACCACCATTCTTATCTAACCTCCATGTTCCAATTAAATTAATTTCTTCAAGAGTTGCTGGCAATTTTACATAATTTTGTGCACGACGTCGATAAAGACTGGCATCAATTTTATCGAGTAATGGAAATATTGTGCCTGTCCCTATACCAGGATTTTCAACTCTAGCTTTAACCATTTCTTCAGAATAAATTTTGGGAATTGGAATTGTTTCTTCTCGTGCTCGCTTCTGCATTCGACCAATAACATCATCAATAATAACTTTATTTGTATTTGGTGTGCATGCATGACCTGTTTCTTCACCAATAATTAATTTGTCTTGTGAACATAGTGATATTGAACTTGTACAACTTCTATCACGGCAACGCCATTCATTCCGAGTTTATGCTCTCGTTTTTTAGTGTATTGATAATCTTTATAATTTAAAACTGGCTTACCACGTTCAGTGAGAGTGAAATGTAACAGTTTTTGTGTGTACTCCTACTAAATATCCGTAAGTTTATGTAGGTTAGTGAGCTTCTTTTTTTAAGCATCCTAAACGGCTCTAAATTGTAGTTGTTTCTATATTCTTAATTATTAGTGTTGTTCATTTTTACAAAGTTTATTAAATAAATTTAAAAGCCGAATAATTTAGCCTATGCGTGCATTTGAGGGACGAATCAAGAAAAAGTTTTAAGGGGCGAAATGAGAAGGGATGAACTGATAATAAAAATCTATGAGCGACGAATTGAGAAATCAATTAGGGACGAATCGAGAGGACACCCAAATAGCGATCAAAAGACAATAGATGAAAAATGACGAAGTCAAAAAGTTATTTCGTTGATGGTATAGAATACCGCAGAGAATCAAAGCATTGGCCTTTATTTATAATTATTATGTAGCTCTATTGATTTACACAATAGTTATTAATAACAGTATTGCTACTGTGAATGAAAACTATTTAGCCGATCCATCAACATTAACTTTGATTAGAACAGGTGCGAAATTTGTGCCATGTATGAAACCTATTGATAGTCTACGCTATTCTTCAGTCAGTTGTTTATCTGTATCATCTTCAAATCGGACTTGTCTTCTTAAATATTACTACAATGATCAAAGTTTCACTAGTTATCCATATCGATTTTTCATACCTATATTTTGCACGGGGGTATTATACACCTTATGCTGAATCTAATAAGTGGGAATCCATTAGAGGTATACATGTAAAAGTTGCACTTTTCCACCTCATCCATGCATGTTTAGACTCATTAAATATTTTTAGTGTAGTAGCCACTGAACGTCTACCGTTCTCGATCATCTTTCTTCCCTGACTGACTTTGCTCCATAAAAATGAATGTCCTGAGTAGATGAATCTCAACACAGCTACAAGTAGGAATTTATTTGGAAAGAAAATTTGGTTTTATCCGAATTGGGTTAATCCATCTCATATCGGAGATTGGTGGATGTTTATTGAGTACTCTAGCTTTACCTTTTGGAGGTACGTTCTGTTCATCTAACTTACAAATATTCGAACTCATCTTTTCTGTGCGGTGTCAGCAGGAGCATTAGGCGTTTTGTTTGGTTTAATGGGTGTATTCTATATGGATCTAATACAAAATTGGAAAACATTAGATAATCCTACCAGATTATATTTCAAACGGTATCTCTTCTCGTTCTGTTGGTACTAAATTTTATTGTGCTAAGCATTGATTATTGGGCTTATATTGGTGGATTCATCACTGGACTTTTAAGTGGGTTAATACTTTGATTTGAGGATTTTCGCTATCGTGCAGCCAAGACCAAGGCCGCTAGCTCGAGTCGCGGCGCCACTGCAGCGCAAAAGCTGACTTGGGTAGTTGGTTACACCATTATGTAACTCGCGGTTCAGTCGCTACAGTCGCGATCGCGGTTCAGTGGCTACGGTCGCGTCGCCATAGTGGGTTACCTTACTTACTTTTTCCGCGTTCGCGACGCGCCAACAGCGACTGAACCGCCATCGCGACAAAATCGTGATCACAAAAATTGCATCTTATTCCGCTTCTTAGTCTCTACAGTCGCGTCGCGAACGCGGAGCATTTGCTATAGTCGCGATGTCATAAC